GCAGCTTGTCCTCACATTCGCAGTCTTTGACATGATACAAACTTGAAGTTCCATTGTCATATTGCCTTGATTAGAAAGGAGCGTGACAAACTGTGGACTTAAACAAATTATGAAAACTGTGAGTGTTCGTTTTGCATCCGCACGCGCTTTGGAGATCTGCTTTTGCTCCTTAACAACCGGGATAGTATTTCTATCCAGTTTTCTGACATTTGAACTACTTTGATCGGGAATGATGGATCCGCCTGGATAAATGGACCCCATACTACGAGATTTGATCTCATGCAACTTGGGTGCAAGCGATACCATTATGTTCCCGAATTAACTCTGTTTGTCTTCTCCCGAAGCCGGAAGGGAAGTGTGGCGAAAATCTGGAGAAAACATTTGTTAAGCTATCGTTTGGGTTTTTAATTTTACGCAACCTCCCGAATACAGATTCATATATGATGCACCGTTTCCAAGCGCTACCATTTGCTTCCATTCCGATTCGTCGAATGAAATCAGTTCATGAAGAGGAAAAAACCGATTGATATCGTTTCTCATTCACCTCTTTGACTGGTCTGTTTTCCTATTTCCGGATGCGAGCTAGCAAAGCTTTCCAATGCATATTCAAACAATATGCAGATAAAATCTCATAGGATAATACAATGCGCAATCGTACAGAGACTTCGTGCTCTGATACATGCTCTATTGTTATTTTAAGCAACTAACCCAATTTCCCACACTGTCAGAGTCTTCGGGGCTCCCCTCTGTGACTTTGCCATGCTTACATACTTCGTGCAAATGGGTACCTAAGAGATATTTTTCTGAGGGTCTCCCAATGGGGTTTGGCTTTCTTTCCACCAAGATTTGGCTGAATTTCAGTTCCGGCAGTTCTATACCTATTTTTAGAGGACAGCAACGATAGAAAGGGTTCTTATTCTTTTACAAAGGTGCATTCGTCGTGTATATAGCAAATGAAGCGTGAACTGAAACGGTAGGAAGCACCGGACAGCTGTTTCGACCTGATTGGGTCTCATCAGCAGTGAGTAAATCCATCGACCCAACTGGGGATCGAATCCGGGACCTTATGGTCAGAACGCGAACATGCTACCCACTCAGGCACCGGACAGCTGATCAGACAGTTTTTCATTTTCCAGTTACACGACATACCACAACTCATCTTTGCGAGCTTGTTGCGGGCCATCGATCGAAATACCAGCACGCACTTGTGATTGGATAGATCCAGTGATTCGTTGATTTGTGTCCAACCTTGACTGATTTCTGGTGAACAAATTGTTCACAGGAAATGTGCATGCCTTCATCCTCCGAAATGATGCAGTACTTTACCGGTCGTGGTACCATTCACATCGAGTAGAAATTACGGTAGGTTGCGGGGACGTCCCGAATTCCCGACAGTACAGAAAACTGAACACAGACACTGGTGTCAGCGGATTGGTTCACGAGCGTGACCACGATTTATTGAAGCCACAGACTCAAGGTGTTGACAGTCAGTGTTGAGGGGATGTGCTTCCGGCCCGAGAGTTCGTGGTTCAAGTCCCGGCACCTCCAAGTGTTTTGTGATTACACATCCTTGTATGATCAAAAGTAGCTAAATTATACCCCAGAGTGACGAGTATCTGCTGTTCATTCATGCCCATCACGAGGACTTGAAGTAGCAGACCACACAAGGTCCAAATAACATATGGTTGGCTTTTTTATGACACCTTAGTGTGACGAACAGCGGATGGGGTAAACCCCATGGTCACGAGGACCTGCTGTTCAATGATGGAAACCGGCAACCTAACCCCCAGGACTTGGAGTGGCGAACCAAATAAGGCTCTGATAGGTTAGGTGTGGTACTGAACCGGACGACAGCAAATGTGCTCACCACCAAAGTCGGGTGGCGGAGGAGGGGCTCGAAACTCGGACCATAAGGTCCAAAGTACGCCGGGGACAGCGACTAAAACACTGCACCACCACCAGGAACAGGACGACAACAAAGTTGTCTACCCTCATCCAAAGTTGGGGGCGGTGGAAAGGGTTCGAACCTCCTGAAACCTAGGCAACTAAGCGTACCGGTGACAGCGGCTTAAACCACTTGGCCATTACCTTGGAAAGGAGCAGCGAAAAATAGCTGTTCACCTGTACTCCTTGTCGGTAATTATGCCAATATATCACTCACGCACGATGACTTTGCATGCAAGGTGAGTGAAAAGAAACTGAAAGACCCCAATGGTATCAAACTTCAAAAGGCTTGTCTACCGCCAGAGCCACAATCAAATAAACTTTAGATGACAGCGTTGTAACTGGACGGGTCTGTGCATTTTTGCTTACATTCGGACTGGAAATTCCTATTAAGCCTAAGGGAACAAATGAAACTAATTTTTTTAATGAAATAAATCAGTAACTATTACTATTCAATTCTGACTGACCCGTTGTGAATACGGTTTCCCTGTATTGTATCGATTTAAATTGACCCGTCTATCTGACTTCTTTCTACCATCCGAAAGACCACAGAAACTTTAGAATTCGTTCCTCTAGTCAAATAAAACTAAATCATAGTTAAATGGGACTCAGATTAAATCAGTCGAGGTAATTGATACGTTTTCTGATGTTTGCCGTATTTGCAGTTGCCCTCTGTTTGTTTGTCTATTCACATTTTGCTCCCCCAAAAAACATCATCATCAAATTACACCCTACTGATAAGCCGCAACAGTCAACGAGAAAGACAACACCCAACCCTCCTTTTCCTCGGCAAACTTGTGTCCCCCATATAGTCAGTGTGGGTAGATGGGTGGGTGGAGGTCTGAACTGAACATGCCGTCGGATTGCCTTGCCTCATTAGTCCGTCACTCCAAACCGTGTGTAACGTTTGTAACAAAAATTGGACTTCAGTTAGTTCGTACAAAGAGGTTACTAAGTTGCTTCACATTTGAGCATGAATAATTACATCAATTTAAAAAAAATAGGTTAATAGATTTGAACACGTACCCAGATCGATGCAAGACAAATGTTCTCATGGTGTAGTAGGCTAGTTCCATGGTATCAATCAAACCGACGGTTAGGTCTCCGTAGGTTGCCTCAGATAGAACTTCTGTATTACCAGACCCTATCCATCCGTTAGTGCATTCGTCCAGTAGACCGCTATGCGGATGATCGTTGGAGAACACCAAACTGTCATCACTGACATTCACGAAACCTGTTCCGCGGAACATAGCCGGTGGTGGAACAGAGGAATCTTTGGTCCACAACTTCGTATTGTCTAACAGTTTGGACTGGGCAAGACGCGGTGCACCAGTGGGACCGGTTCCGCCAGTGTAACCGAGCGTGCCAGATGCACCGGGCCAATACTGTTCACATTTGATTCGAGCACGTTCTTCCAGTCGCGTCATCGAGACAATCATGGCCGAACGTTGTTCCCAAACCATGCGCCAGAAATCGGTAACCGTGTGAGGTAGTGGACCCTGAAAGTGTTAGCAGACAATCGAAAAAAACGAAAGATTGAACGAGGATGAACAGCTGCGATTTGTTGGGAACAGTGTTAATCACACATCGAAGGTCAACAGGTCCACAGATCAGTTTACAAAAAATAATTTATTCCATTTATAAGTCAGCAGATGTAAAAATCGAATGCTGAATTTTCTTTTCTATGAGAATGAACGAGGAAAAGGGCTTTTGATAAACTGTATTCAATATAACATTATCCATCATCCCATATGGGATACGTATATCTTAAAAACAACCTTGGAAGTATTAAACAATCATATAGTCATTGTAAGCTGCTGTATTATTCAGCAAGATTGTGAAATCTATCCATGCAGTCTGACCAAGTAACTGAGCGGTAAAACCGGTTAGCCATAAAACCGTGCACATTCTAATTGGGCCCATCAACCCTGTGTGGTAGTACACATTACACCGATGACTAAGTTACACTGCCAGACCGTTCTTACATTAGAGATTAGTTGATAATCGTGAACTAAATAGTTATTAATTGGAGCAAAATGACTTCTATGAGTGTTTTACTTGCTTCTGAAAGGATCCTGGGACCAATTCAAATCTGTCAGGAAGCACACAAAGGTGCAAACCTTTTGGTCATGTTAGCGGGATTCGAACGTAAAACCTCCGGTTTGGTGTGATGAAATGGTAAACAGCGTTTAGCGATGTGGTTAGTCCGTCCCCCCCCTCCGAGAATCAAAAACAAACACTTTCCTTCAAAAAAGTGAAAATGCAGGACAGCTGTATAACACAAATGACATTAACTATTGCATTGTTTAACAAGATTTTCCTCTTTTTAAGAGAGTACTGTTGTGATTTCAAATGAATTCCATTTTTTCCAGCTTACCCTGGTGATCAGGTTTGATTATTGAGGATAATAGTGGTTCTACATGAATTCCTTTACTTTGGATTGATTGTTCTACTCCTAATAACTATTAGTCCAGGTTCGACAACCTGAGTAATAATATTCACATAGACCGTTCTTCAAAATTCTGAGGTTACAGACAATTTTAAATGAATTTCAACTTTAGCGACTTTAGTTCGTGAACAGCTTAGGCAGAAGGTGATGCAAAATACCGCATAGTTACAAAAATGAAAAGAATATATTTATCCTCATAAATCTTCCGGTTCATTTCACTGTACTCAGCTTAAAGAACAAGATATTGTGATCGTTCCCAGTGTAGCCTTTAAACCGCATAATTTACTTAAAAACATATTTGTATTTTATATTATGCTGCGAATCCTGTCGTTCGCGTCACTACAACCCAGAATCCGAAGACCTTGGTGAAATCACCGCTCCTTC